TCTTTTTCTCTCCCTCCGCCCAGTTTCCACCGGTTCCCTCGCTCAGCAGTACGCCCACCCCAGCGCCACTCTGCATCCCCACAGCCCCCACCCGCAGCCGTCGGCCACCCCCACGGGGCAGCAACAGACGCAGCACGGCGGGAATCACCCGGCCCCCAGCCCGGTGCAGGTAAGTGGTGCCCCTCCCCCCGGGGAGGGTGTGGGGTGGGAGGGAAGCCCCCTCCCCAAACTCTCCTTGGGCTGCAGCCTCCCGGGGGGCGGGGGGGGCAGGCACGGAGCCCCCCCATAGGAGCGGGCAGCGGGGCCAAACACCGCCCAATAGAGGTAGTTCCCGACTGACGACCTCCACTCGTTTAGTGACCAAAGTTACAAGGGGCTGAAAACAAGGGTAGGACGGTTGCGTGTGGGGGGGGGGGGGGGGGGGGGGAGAAGGGGGGAGCCAGATTTGTTTAACGACCGTGTGATTCGCATAGCAACTCTGGTCGTCAAACAAGGGCGTGGCTCGCTTAGCGACCACGCTGCCCCTCATTCTGGCCCTAAGTCGAGGACTCCTGCATGACGCCCGTCTCTCCGCAGGCCCACCAGCACCAGGCGGCCCAGGCCCTCCACCTGAGCGGCGCCCAGCAGCAGTCGGCCCTCTACCACACCGGCCTGGCCCCAACGCCTCCCTCCATGGTGCCCGGCTCCAGCGCCCAGTCTCCGCAGAGCAGCTTCCCGGCCGCCCAGCAGACCGTCTTCGCCATCCACCCGTCCCACGTCCAGCCGGCCTACGCCAACCCGCCCCACATGGCCCACGTCCCCCAGGTAGCCCAGGGCTGCTCCAGGGTCCCCATCTCGGCTGCTGTTGGGAAGGGGCGGATTCCACCCACCTTCCTCCGGCCGGGCCCCACCGTCTGTTCTCCCCACGGCCAGCCGGCCAGCCCCACCCAGCGTGGAGTCTCAGGACTTTGGCCCAGCACTGAGGGTCTTGGGACAAACTGGGGCCCGACAGGAGGAAACGGAGGAGAGATTCCCTTCCTGGGGCTGTTGGCTTTCCCATCATGGCTTCCTGAAACCCCCTTCCCCTAGATTGACTTGCGGGGAGAGCCGAGTTTGTGGGGCGAAATTCTGCTTTCCGTTCTCCTTCCTCCACTCCACCCATCGTTCTATGCCTGCTGCTTATGGGGCGAGGAGGGAGGGGGGGTTTGAGATCCTGGACCACCCCCCGCCCCACGGAGGGAATTAAGCCCCTTGTGGAGGAAGCAGCCCCCCCCCAGGAGTCACGGCAGCGATTCCTCTCTAGCCCAGGAGAGAGAAGGGGAGCCCTTGGGGGGGGGTGGAGATTGTGGCCCCAGGGAGCCCCAGGCAGAGGAGGAGGAGGAGGAGGAGGGGTCTTCTGACGGCCTCACCCTCTGTCCCAGGCCCATGTGCAGTCCGGCATGGCTCCTTCCCACCCATCTGCCCATGCTCCAGTGATGCTCATGACGACGCAGCCGCCGCCCGGAGGGCACCAGGCCATCGCCCAGAGCGCACTGCAGCACATTCCAGTGTCGAGCGCCACTCACTTCCCCTATATGACACACCCTTCAGGTGAGCCCTGCGCCAGCCACACGAGAGGGAGCGGGAGGGAGGCCGCTTTCGTGGGCACCACGGTGGTCCCTGCTTTGCCAGTGCCCGAATCACGGCACGAAAAGGGGGTCTAGGACGTGCCCCTGGCATAGGGCGCCTTGTGGGCATCGTTGCCCAAGAGCCCTTTTGGGGTTGGGGAGATGGATTTCCATCGGTGGTGCCTAGACAAAGAGTTGAGGAGGGGGATCTGGCTGGGAGAGGGTCTGAAGACGCCCTCCGTTGACCAAGGGAGACTTTCCTTCCACCTTTGGGGCTCTGGAAGGTGGGTGGGCTTCAACTCCCAGAGTCCCCCCAGCCAGCAATTCCGGGAGTTGAAGTCCACCCGTCTTTCCAGAGCCCCAAAGCTAAATGGGGAAACCAAATGCAGGAGCTTTGGGAAAGGTTGTTCCTCCCAGTTAGCTCTTCAAAATGTCTTATTTATTCCATTTTCTCTCTCTCTTCCAGTTCCCACTCACCATCAACAACAGTTGTAAAGCTGACCCGGAGTAACTGAGGCTGGATCCCTCTTTTTGTTTTTGTTTTTTTTTCTTTAAAAAAAAAAAAAGGCCAAATACCTTTCTTTTCTTTCTTCTGCTTCATCCAACTTGGAAGCACAGAAACAAAAAAGCGAAACGAAACAAACAAAAAAAACCCCTTAGTATTTCACTTATTTTTTAAGGCGAGAGCAAAAAAAAAACCAACCCAAGAGCCCAGGTGTGTCGCATCCGGTAGGAAGGCTAAGATCGTTGCCAACTTTTCCCGTGGGAGAACTTTTGGACCGAGTCAAAACGCAAGTCGGTCCCTTCCCGGGGGGTGGGTGGGGGGGATGATTCCATGTGTCAAAGAAACTAAAATCACCCTGCCCCTCCCCCCCCCAAGTTCGCTTGCAGAAAAAGAAAAAGGAAAAGCTATTTATTTTTTAAAACGGCCCTTCAGAGTAATTGGATTCCCGATTCCTTAAGAGGAGAACAAGGACGAGGAGAGAGTCTCGTTGCTGTTCTCACTAAAAAAAATAATAGCAAATAGTAATTACGAAAAAAATCAAGACCCTAAACAAAAATCCCTTTTACCGCTAACTAAACTTAAAAAAGAGGTTTTGTGGGGGGAGGGGTAGAAAAGAAATTTAATGGTCAAATGGATATGGATTTATTATTTATAAAAAAAAATCATGTTTGAAGGGGGAAAGAGTAACCGCTGTCCCAGGGCAGCGGTCTAACTTTTAAGTTAAGAGGAAAACTTACTTTGTAGATAATATAAAATAAAAACTAAAAAAAAATAATCACAAAAATAAAAAAAAGTTTTAAAAACTGACCTTTCCTGCCAGCATCCGTGTGGTCTTTGGTTGTTCCCTTTCCCTTCCTTCCTTCCTTCCAATTTTTCTTTCTTTCTCCAAACACGTTGGCACCTGGTTGAGCAGCTCAGCCTTCGGACCCACAAGGAAGACGTGCTAAGCAACCTAGATTGAAGGTATTCTGATCTTTTCACCCCAGCTATTAAACGCTAGAAACCCCAGCTCTGCCTAGCCTAAGAGATGCGACTGCCCTGATCTTTTCTCTGAGGTAGAGAACATCTTTTCTTCAGATTTGGCCAACAGGAGCACCTGAGAGTAAAGAAGAGGATGAAAAAGGTCCTACAACCAGCCGCGAAGCACCTCTGAACGGTTTATTTTAAGGAAGGGAGGGGGGAACCACATCTGAATTATCTTAACAGGATTTGCCAGGGATGAGAACCACCCAGAGAGACTTCTGTAAGTGAACGGAGAGGCTGAAAACACACACACCGTTTTCTTCCTCAAAAGACCAATTTGGTTTCCTTTATTATTTTCAAATTTAATGACTTTGAAAGAACCAAGCCGTGGAACCCACCCCCATCCCAGGTGAGCTGCGGTTCCTGCAGAGGCCAACCTGTTGGGACTGCAGGCCTCAAATCTGCAAGAGGCCAAAGAACTTCTAACTCAGAGATTCCCCCAATTTGTCCACTTTAAGAATTATGGACTTCAACTCCCATAATTCTCCAGCCAGCATAGCTGACTCTCTTGTAATCCCTTCCTCTGCAATCTCTCTCCACTTTAGGAGATTAAGAGAGAGAGAAAAGCAGGCATGGCTGGCTGGGGAATTCTGGGTGCTGGAAGTCCACCAGTCTTAAAAGTGGCCAAGGTTGGAGACCCTTGCATTAAATTCCCACCAACCACCGGTTTACATGGGTTTAGAAAGCAAGTTTGTTCCCATAGTCCAGAAAGCTTTGGAGCACTGTGTTATTCTCCCAAACGCAAAAGAAACTCTGAAAGGTGATCTCTTTATTAGCCAGGAAAGGGACAAAATTTGAAACCCTGGGTACAAAGTAGTTGGAACCTAGGTGGTTAAGGCTCAGATCTCGTGGTTTGGTCTGCCTCTATCGGGTGTTGTAGTTTGGAGATGCAACAATGCACCAGATAGGAAAGTCAAATACTATTGCTCTGTTTCTCAAGCCGTTTCAAAATAGCTCTGCTGGCTGGGGAATTCTGGGCGTTGAAGTCCACTCATCTTGACGTGGCTGACGCTGCTCTGAAATTAAAGTCCAGGCTTCATTCAATAGATATGCTGCCCAACCTGGTGGCCTCCCCTTCAAGAGAGCTTCTCCCTTAGATGGTTTGGTGGAATCACAGACCGACCAAGGGAGGGGACTCTGAAACGTTCCTGGGACTTTCCAGTCCCACTTTTCTTCAAGGTTGAGCCACTGATTAGATAAAAGGCATTTCCAGTGAAAGGCACGTGCAAATTGGCTTAACAAAAACGAAAGAAAAACTCAGAACGGCGAGTTCGAACTTGCCTCGAATGCTGGAGGAGAAAGTCAAGCTTTTGCAGAAAAGGAGCCACTGTAACTTCCTCTGTTTGGTTAAGGCAACCCTGAACAGCCTTATCACTTCCCTTTTCTCCTTCCAGCTTCCTGCTGACAGCTAGATTAAGATGATTTGCGGTGGCTGTTTTGCAGCCTACGGTTCCTCCCCGAGGTAATGCAATGGGAACTGGGAAGTCCCACCCACCCCCCTCCTGTAACAGCCCTGGGGAAGGTGGGTGCAATGCCCACATGGCCCTCCCGTGGCTCACCGGGTCCCCCATGGCAGGGGGCTGCCTTGGGCAACACGAGAAGGGAAAACAAGAGTGGAAATGGGTCATGCACCAAAACGAAAGCCCTTCACAAGACTTGGGCCTTTGAGTCTGAGCACAGCCCTGCAGCCCGTGTGCATTTCCCCCCCCCCCTCCCAAATTAGGTTTTCGGCTTCTGACAGCTAGGAACAGGCTAGCTCTTGGCCCCCAAAAAAGAGGGGCTGGCAATGTGGTGCTTCTGTGGGAAGAGGCAGGGGTGACTCTCGAGTCCCTGAAATGCTGGTTTTAAGGCAGCTTTGCTGGTTTTAAAGTGACTTGAAAGGAGTGGAAGCGATTTTTCTCAGGGTTTTTGAAGGGAAGGAGCAGCTCCTGGAAATGCCTTTCTAGCCAGAGCAGGAGCTCTTGAACCAGAGGAAGGAAGGAAGGATAAGGGAGGGAGAGGGAAGGAAGGAAGGAAGGAAGGAAGGAAGGAAGGAAGGAAAGAAGGAAGGAAGGAAGGAAGGAAGGAAGGAAGGATGAGGGAGAGGGAAGGAAGGAAGGAAGAATAAGGGAGGGAGAGGGAAGAAGGAAGGAAGGAAGAATGAGGGAGTGGGAAGGAGGAAAGAAGGAAGGAAAGGAAGGAAGGAAGGAAGAGGGAGAGGGAAGGAGGAAGGAAGGAAGAATAAGGGAGGGAGAGGGAAGAAGGAAGGAAGGAAGAATGAGGGAGCGGGAAGGAGGAAAGAAGGAAGGAAGGATAAGGGAGGGAGAGGGAAGGAAGGAAGGAAGAGGGAGAGGGAAGGAGGAAGGAAGGAAGAATAAAGGAGGGAGAGGGAAGGAGGGAAGGAAAAAGGGAGGGAGAGGGAAGGAAAAGAAGGATAAGGGAGGGAGTGAAAGAGAGGAAGGAAGAGGGCAGGGAGGGAGGAAGGATGAGGGAGGGAGGGAGGGAAAAGGAGAGGAATTTTGGCTTTAACAGGAGTTGTTCTCCCAGGGCATCGGGGCTACTACGACCCTCCAACTGGCCACTCCAAACCTCACAGGTACCACCCAAAATAAGAAATAAAGGCTGAATGGGAAAGGAAGCTGTGCAAACCGATGAGAGGCGGAGGAAACTCGCAGGCCGGAGGGATCCTGGCGGGAAAGAGACGTCCGGCCCACTAGTCCATTGCAGCTGGAAGGGGGGAGTCTGTCCGGCAGGGGCCTTCAATGTCCTGGGCAAAGGCCTGGGGGGGGAGGGGGCTCCCCCAGCGGGGTCAGAGGGAGGTGTACTGGTTGCTGACCGCCCGGAGGTGCGCCCGGTTTTGCACGTCCATCTCGTAGTCACTGTCCCACTGACGGGCCGCGGGCGAAGGGGCTGGGGCGGCCGTGCTGGGGCCGTGCTGGAGGCTGCTGGCCAGTTCCTCCGGGGGGGGCACCAGGTGGAAGATCTGCTCCACGGAGTGGCGGCGAAGGTTGTCGGGCAGGTGGATCCGGGGGCAGCCAGACGGACTCAGCTGGACGAAGCTGACCTCCGGCGGGCAGTGGTGGACGGACGGCGGGAAGGCGACTGGGTGGCCGGAGGCTGTGGGTTCAAAGGAAAGTAGGGGGGGAAGGGAATCAGAACAGAGCTGGAAGGGGCCTCTGAGATCTTCTAGTCTAACCCTCCCCCCTTCTCAAGCAAGTGGCCAAGGTTGGAGACCCCTGACTTTGATGCTGATCCGAGAACTCCCTTAAGCACCAGGGGGCTTCGTGGGGGGGGGGGGGCCCCCCCCTGAGCCCCTCGCCGGGGGGGGGGTTGGGGGTCTTCAAAGGGACCCAGCCAAAGGGCTCACCTTGCAGAGGGGGGATGACCACCACGTGCCGGGAGAGCTGGACGTTGCAGGCCGCGCCACACTCCAGGGGAATGGGGCAGTGCTGGAAGTGGTGCAGCATGTCGAGGATGGAGGAGAAGTGCAGATGCTGGACTCGGCACTGGCCCCGCTCCGTCAGGGAAAGCCGCAGGTGCTGCCGGAGAAGCCACAAGAGACGTCAGCCCTTTGGGGGGGGGCTCCCCGAGGTCCTCCTGACCCACCCCCTGGACGCCCAGCGGAAGGAAGGAGCCCTTCACCCTCGCTAGCAATCCTGCTTTCTACTTCCCTCGCTTTCT